TTGCGTCTGACTCCATTACTTGACTCCATCCTTTAACTCTCATGCTCTCTATGACTTTACTATAACCTCTACTTATTATCGCTGTACAATTGCGCCTACTGAACCTGTGATGTTTTGTGGGGTTCCCTCTTACCCTTAACCCCACAAGTAACCCTATATGTAATGTATCCTTCTGTATATTAAAATAATAATAATAAACATTTCCAGGGACACACACATATCTTTAACAACAGCAACAACAATAACGGAGTGATGCGCACAGCAAGACAGCACCAATTTATTATGAATCTAAAAAATGAAATATAGCCCAGCCTGACAGGTCTGAAGGACCCCATATATGTGGGGTCCCCACCCAGGAGACCTAGCCTGTTTAGTCAGTATCACCTCCAGGGGAGTGCCCATGCCCTTGGAAAGCTGTATTCTGAGAGTATGAAACCAATGTCATGCCCATTTTTTCTTAGCAAACTTCTACTTGACCTTCAATCCCGTGGTAGTTACAAAATCTGGTGTCAACTTGAGACTATTAAGAGTGAAGGGGAGCCAATCACAATGATTGACATATAACCCCCTCACAGGGGGATGGACAACAGAAAAGTGCATGAAGGGAGACAGTGGTCGGTGTAAGGCACAGTAATTTATAAATGATCAAGGGTTCATGAGGGAGGGAGGGCAGGGATTGGAGGGGGAAAAAATAAGGAGCTGATACCAAGGCCTCAAGTAGAAAGAAAATGTTTTGAAAATGATGATGGCAACATATGTACAAATGTGCTTGACACAATGGATGGATGCATGCAATGTGATAAGAGCTCCCAATAAAATAAATTTTTAAAGGTGGGGGGGGAGAGTGAAGGGGTGGAGTGTAGCCTGTCAATCAGGTCACAGCTTGATGACCTCATTTGGAGGCGCGATCGAGATAAATAGCTCACTGGAAGCCAGACCCACACTCTTTCTCTGCTTCATCTTCCTGCAGACAAGCCACGTGGAGCTACCCTGATGGAGCCAGAGCCCTGGAGCTGGAGGAGCCACGGGGAGACCCACTACAGTGCTGAGATGCTTCCACCACCACTGGATCCACAAGAATTTCCACCCACTGGCCTGTGGTCTTCCTGCATTTGGTGTCATTGCTTGTGTTGCGTGAGTCCGAAGAAGAATTTATACATTGGTATCAGACATATGGGCTAATATCGGACTTGTGGGCTTGATCTGGACTGGGCTGGGATGCTTTCTGAATAGTCAATTGCTCTTTTAA